GGTACCTGCGAGCGTCGCGAGGCGCCAAGCCGATCACAAAGTCGACGCAACTGCCGTCGCGGATGAGCACGATAGTCGGTGACCTTGACCTTGAGCACGCTTCACGAGGAACATGCTCTTGTCGCGCGTTAATCTTGCAGAACGGCGATCTCCGGGTGGCGAGCGCTCGCGAGCGCATCGATGTGCTGTCGACGATCTTGCAGGGCGAACGTCGAGTCGCGTAGAAGTACTGGCAGACGATCTTCGTGCTCTTCTTTGCACATGGCGAAAAACTCCAGCTCATCCTTCAGGCTCACTGTACTCACCGTGACCTGCGCGCAGCAAAGATGACATGTTAACGCCATTATTAGCATAAGTTAGGGTTAGGGTTAGTGTTGCGGCATTTCACGGCGTGTACGCATTTTATTTCGGGTACGCCCGCTAGGGGCGCTTATGTTTGGGTAAACACGGGCAAATGGCCGGCGTGGACGTGGCAATGGAATCTCCACGATTGAATAATATATATCAGACTGTTCACGAGTACACAGCGTCTTCATTATCAATGTGTTTAATATTAAAGGTAAGCACCGTCACAGTTTATTCAATCCGCTGTGTACCACGCCAACGCCGAATTACGACAAGAAATGAACTGTAACTGTTAGTGCCTGTTCGGCCTACTCAGTGGGTGAGTGACACTGCACGCCGTAACCCGACCAGGCTGTGTGACTAACGTCAATACACACGGCGGTATTCTAACCCTAGCAATACCGTTTCTTGGAGCTATGCACGCCGTTGATACGACACACACCTACGTTTAGAGAACGTTACGGCTGCATGGTTGCCACGCACCGACGTATGTTAAGACTGTCTTTGTTGTGAATCTTTGGAAATGTCATCCAACACAGACAGCTTATCTTGACCACCCGAAGAGGGCGCCACCGAACCGTGTAAAAATTATGCGAGCAGCAAAGGGCAAACCGTCCCTAATGAGAGCAGCGCGCTGAATTCATGTCCAAAGGAGGCTAAGGCCCGTAGAGCTGTTTCGAAACGAAAGGTCACCCACTCCTTCAAAGAGGGGGCGCTGCGCTCTTAGGGTAATACTGGGCATGTCCACATACGGAGCTTTAAAATCACTCGGAACGAGTTAGAACACACAACTGGCGACCTGCAAACGGTAAATGCAGATTTATAGGCTGAAGTGCGGTGAATTAAGCTGCAGAGACATCTTATCCACCGAGATGAACTGTAGAAATCGCGGAGCGATGAAATCGCTGACCGAGGGGCCTACATCAACGAAGGTGTTGGATAGTGGCATTGCCAACGATACTACGAACTTCTAGGAATCGAACAGGCAAAGCCAGTCACTCGACACTGTACCAGGACTAGACCCCCTTCTATCTCGTCCTTGGAAGATAAGTCCCCACAGCGTATGGCGAAGTTGAGATGTTGCCGAACCTTCTTGGTGATGCTGCGGGCATTACAGACGTTTCAAGGAACTTTTGCAATCGGATTTTTCCAGGAGCACTCTAAGGAAAACTGACTTTTTTACCAGCTTGTTGAATCGATGGAGAGGAAACCGAAACCGATAACAGATAATAGTCTTGCATAAATACCCAAGAGATGGGAAATGCTTGGACGAAGACTATGGTACGAACGCACCGCTCATAGAACGTGCTTGCTTAATGACCTAGAACAGAGGATTCCTTTACGACCCTTCAGGGCAAAGTGGACATCAAGGCCATGCGACAACTTTTGTCGAATCACTACGGACTTCGCTACCCCAAGTTCGAAACCGTGTGCCTTGAAAATGATCTGAATGGCAGATGTTATTGACGCAAGTTCGTACTGTAAACTAGCCGGAGGGCATCGCAATTCCAATACCTCCAGAAGTGTCGCTGATACAAACGGGCCAACAGAGTCCGTACCCAGGTCTCGACGTTAAAGTGGTTTAGCATTCTCTGTAGTGCCCTGCAGGCAGGGCCAAGAATCCTGCTGAGGACCAACAGTCCCAACCTGCAAGTACATCTGGGCAGAATCGCAAATCGACTAGTCATTCTACGATTGTCCCCGCGAGAAGGGCAAAGCGCTGCTGGTGAGAAGGAACTTTTGGTACGCAGAAGAAAGGCGCACCGATCTAGCTACACGACCGAATGCCCACTGGCATCCTCAGACCATCCGAATCACTTCTTGAACAGGCTGCTCATAAGTTCCGTACACTCACGCAAAGTGCATCGAAATCGGAGCATCATGAACGCTAGAATATCTGCCATCGCTGTGGCGGTATAATAATTGCCATCTCAGGGAAAACGGCCGTTCAAAGCGCACGTAGACTGGCAATTTGCCACAAACTGTCAAATACCCACGCTTGCCGGCTATGCAACTCTTCTCTCCTCCGTCTGCCGAATTTTACGGCCGGAGATGCGTATCGTCACTTCGATAAGAAGTCCTATCTTCTGCGTGCAGGCGAATAGCAAGGGTCTGAACGTCATAGGCAGGGAATCCAAGGACAGCAGTAGCAAGGACACTCTAACCCCACGCTCGAGCAGCTGGAAGGCAACAATGCGAGTTAACGAACCGATCACATGATGCCTGGACGCGCATGGCAGATACGTATGTACGAAGAAAGACGATGTACGAAATTCTACTCGCACACAGGCAGCCGAAGAGTATCGCTTTTACGTGAAGGAATCAGTTCCAAAGCTCTCAGCTAAGCAGGTCAGATGAGGCAAGACTTCATCTCACCAAGTTGAGGTGACACCCTCCGCCTGCAAGCTTCGTGGTGTAGGATTGTACACAGAGCAGTCCTAGATGGTGCGTTCCACGGCGTGATGTCGTCTTACTGAGATGAAGAGACCTGCTGCGCGGATGCGCCATCATCCGGTAAGCGCTCAACTCCGAGCAGTAGCCTCCGCTCACCTTGATGATATCAGTATCGTTGAACGGCTCCAGACAAGACGATCGACATTCTGCTAGGCGATCGAAGAACAGGAGACGTACTAACAGCAGATGAACGTATGCCTGGGTCCCACGAGCACAACGATTCTTTTGCTGTCAGATGTCCATTGGGATGGTATGCTCCAAGGTGGTCATACTCGAATGTGAAGTTCTTTGGCAACGCTTCACGTACACTTCACTCAGGTGCAAGGCCAGTCGCGAGATAGAAGAATCTGGAATCGACCGTGTAGGTACGAGCCGAGACATTAGTAAGTGCACCATTAGAGACAGTCGACAAGATCAGATAGCAACGGCTCAATGCCACAAAGCGTAACCAGGCTGAGAGATGGAACTACGAGATCGAATCTAACGTGGAGGAAATGCATCATTCTTCTCGGGTTTACCGAACACATCACGACTTTATGCTGTGAAAACGTTTCTTAAACTTTGAGAGAACAGTTTAAGAACAAACCCCACCTCAATGGAAGGCTATTGCAGCAGATTGAAGGAGCCAAGTCAAAACGCGGCGTAGCACGGGTTGTAGGCAGATGCAAGATGGCCACGCGGCCAAAGATAGTTCCGGCAAAATGTGGTTTCTTCCAGCACTTCGGTTAACTTAAGACTCACAGACACACCAGTTCGTGTTGTTATGATGGAAAGGCAACTACCAAAGGACCACTCATCTCCAACGACTACTCGCTAAAGGAAGCAACATGAACTCAAATCTATTCAGGTGGCACTACGTGTTAGCAGAATATGACGTTGGGGGACGCCGAATTAGCAAGATGTTCCAAGCCTGTGAAAGTCGCACACCCTAGATGACGCTAGGTTCACCTCTATATTTCGGCGTGATACGACAGGGAGGAATCCGAATCCGAGTTTACGAGTAACCACAGTTACCCTCGGGGATAAGCCATCTCCAGCTGCAGCGTATCGTTGCTCTTCGGCACTCGTCGCTAAGGAAAACGGCACCCAATTTGATCCTGATGTCCAACGCTGTCATGCCGCACCAGTTCTACGTGCGATTTAACTGCTCTGAGCGGACCGTGGACAAGACAAGTCGACTGAAGGAGATTGCTTAGCGCTATCCTAGGGAGTGTTGAGGGTCACGAATCCGAAAGCTGGCTTTCCGAACAAGGCGAGAAATCTGTGACAAGGGGAAGTCTCCCTGCTGATTGTAACACATCGACAGGTACTGGGCGACCGAAGTGGAAATTTGCGGAACGACACGTTGAGTCAAGAAGTCACGGTTTTTTCGAGACTTTACGTGCCAAACAAAACGAAAATTCTGAAGAAAACTGCTTCGTACTACGACATCTCTTGGAATGTTTATCCGGGATGGCCTCGTAGCGACCAAAGATACGCTTCGAGAAACTTTGGACATTGATACATCGATTGGGACCACTCCTATTTCAACTCAAGACAGTATATGCCACATTAGTTGGAAGCGTAAGGAAGAGCACTAAAGGACGTTAACACTATCCAAGATAGACGTTGCCTTATCCCAGAAAAGTTGGCGCGGTAAATCACCATTGGCTAATTTTCACTTCCAATGGAGCCAGTTGACGCCGTCTGTGACGCCATGGGAATTGGGATAATGGCTGAGATGGTCCCGATAAGCAGAAGACGACGATGCAGAACCTGACTTTTCTGCGCTCGAGCACGACTAGACTCCGTTGAAAAACAGCTAAGCATGCCTCGTAAGGAGCTCCAAAGCCATTCTACCTCTTATCTCGGTGATGACGACGGGAGGCGAAGCATTGGCCAACACGACATGAGATGGGCCTATAGGAGGATATGGCACCAAACAGCATGACTGCATCAGAGTGCTGGCAAGGGGATCAATGCGAAAATGCCTTCGCTCAT